TGCAAGTCTCACATGCAGTGCCTTCGTCAACGCCATATTCGACCACGGACGCGAGGTAGGTGGGTGGCGTTTATAGATGTATTTTGTATGACGTGCTCGGTCAAGAAACAAGGCGAATGCATGGATGATGTGGGTGTGATGTTTGCCTTTCTTGGATGCATCGATCGCACGCATATATAGAACACCGACTGCATGAGACATGCAGAGATTCTTGATGGTGGATGCATGGATGCACGTGACCACCTGCATGTGTACATGTGTGGATGCATAGGGTGACGGCCCGGTCATCGATCATGCGTTCAACAATGCATGATGGCTTTGTTCATCAGACATTGACTAATTGACGTCGACGTTTCGCATTAGCTTTCAGTGTCCAAGTGTCAATGTCTCTCCCTTTCGATGTATGTCATCATAATATCAACCTGTCTTATCTGCCCGCCCATGCTCTCGCGCACACACACACATACACACATCACACGCGAAGACTCTCTCCGGCTCAGAGACACGTATGAATCGCTGTGATGACATGATTGAGGCATGGACGAAAGAAATACAATGGCTGCGGCTAGCGAAAACCCCCGCCAAGCACCCACCCCCTCGCGCGGCTGATGTACATGTATGCACAATGAAGGTGAAGACGGAGTCTGCTGGTGGACATGAATGCGTCAGAGCAAGCTGACAAATTTCAAGGAACAAACGACAAACACACAGCAACGGCGTACTTCAACATTCACGCCATCTGGGGAATATCTTTGTGCGCACACCTGCGCATGCACGCGTTGACTTGGAGGAGTGGGTGTATATGATGAATGTCTCCGTGCGCACACCGAATGCCTCGGTGCGCACACCTGCGCATACACGCGTCGACTTGGAAAGAGTGGGTGTATATGACGAACGTGTCTGTGCGCACACCGAATCTTTCGGTGCGCACACCTGCGCACACCTGCGCCTGCATATTTGGACTTGGAGTGTGTATGGTTGATGGGTGTCTCTGTGCGCACACCGCGCATGCACGCGTCGACTTGGAGGACTGTGTCTATATGATAATGTGCATATGATGAATGTCCCTGTGCGCACACCTGTGCATGCACGTTTAGACTTGAAGTGTGTGTATACAATGAATGTCCCTGTGCGCACACCTGCGCATGCACGTTTGGACTTGGAGTGTATATACGATGGTGTCTCTGTGCGCACACCTGCGCATACACGCGTCGACCTGGAGAGTGTGTACAGGTCAACCTTCATTCACCGTAACAATCATCTCTATGTCCGAATCATACACGAATCAGTCCGCCCGATAACACGCCAATCTAGGGTGAGGAATCGATCCCCGCCCCATCATGACAACCCACGCAAACAATAGCTAGTAGCACGCACGAGAGCAATCGACAAACGCGAGCGGATTCAGCCAGACAGATGACCCAACCCCCGACCCTTCCATCCCTCCTTCTCCATCAGCGCACACGCCTTGTAGCGACTCATGCCTGCATGAAGGCGAACGACACGCACACACCAAAAGGCATGCATTCAAGCACCATTCGGCGATCAGCTCGAGACTCGGGCAGACAGGCACCTTGCAGCCAGAGGTAGGGTTTCCTGATGAAGTCGAGCGGTGACATCTGGAAGATCTCACATCCGAAGAAGATGGGCGTGCAGAGGAAGCCGATGAGCCCCATGTCGTGGCAGACGGGGAGCCAGGAGAAGAGCCGCAGCCGGTGGCCTCGCACCCGCTCGCTGATCTTGTGACGCTGCATCAGGATCTCACGCGTCCTGGTGTACGGCTGGCCCGTCACTGTGATGTTGGGAATGGTTGGGTCGTCGATCTTGCTGTCACAGCCGTAGGCTGCAATGGACGTTGTGCAGCAGCGACCCGTGCGTCACAATCACCCCCTTGGGCGCCGCTGTCGACCCCGATGTGAATTGCAAAAAGGCAATGTCACTCAGGCCGATGGACGGGGGGGAAAGCACGCCTCGGGCTTGCCGTCATAGTCCTTGTCGTCTGCGGCCGTCGCTTAAATGCGTCGCTGGTAAGGATCCACTCGATGGATCTCCATCTGTTGTCCTTGGCATAAAGGCCCACAACGCGGGCGATCCTCTGGCAGAAGGTGTTGGTGAGCGAGTAGCGCACCTCGGTGCTCTCGGCGATGTCGCAGAAGCGCGGCACATCGATGTCTGCCTTGTTGGGGGCGGGGGGATACACAGGCACCGCAACGACGCCCGTGTAGAGGCATGCGAGGAAGGCGATGATGAAGTTGGTGCCTGGTGGGTAGCACAGGATGACTCGATCGCCCACCGCCAGGCCGAGCTCCTCTGTCAGAAACGCCCCGAGCCGCTGCACCCTCCTGAAGAGCTCACTGTATGTCAACACATCGGCCGGCTCCCCATTGCCGTCGAGCCGCGTGACGGCGGGATGCTGTGGCATCTCATCCGCCCACTTGGCGAGGGCGGTGCCGAATGCCGAGCCGCCGTAAAGCTGGTGGTACAGCTGAGAGAGATCATCAGAGATGGGTCGGGGAGGGACGTCCATGTCGCTGGTCGAAGTGCTCTCAGTGTCGGCCATGCCACGAATGCAACTGGGCCTGACGTTTTTGCTGTGGCTCGCCCAGTGGGCAAGAAGCGTCCGATCAGGGTTTGCTGCTAGCCGTTTTTTCCTGTTCGCTTCCAAGCTATTCAGCTTGACACACTGAAGCAAGGCGAGTCAGTGAGGTTGGTTGGGAGAGATTCCCTTCCGTAGAAGCGCTCACCGCGCCCATTGGCTTTACTCACTGATGCGCTGACTCTGACTGCCCCGTGAATGATGGTTGGGAGCGTGCTTGAGATCGGAAGAGCCACCTCGAGATCTGCTGGAGCACACGCAACGTGACGGCAATGACGTCTTGACGTGTCCAAGCAGAACCGCATCGGAATCAGCTACAGAAAAGCTGCACTCGGCTTATACCGCTTCAGTGTCGGGGTCCGAGTTGAGGAGGGAGGCGCCGCGGTGGTGCCTCTCATGCATCTGTGACGGTGAAGAGCGGAGATGGTAGGCATGATGGACGACGACCTGGTGATGTGGACGTGCTGACGACGACGAGCTGTTCGACACATGCTTACTCTTTCCCCTTCCCTCTACCTTCCTGCATTGCTGCGTCGGGATGGGCACGACAAGGAGCAGCTCGAGACAACAGAGAGTGACCAGCACGTCAGGACCGAACAAGCAGAGACGAGAAGAGGATTGGAGAAGATGCAGAGACGAGAAGAGGAGTGGAGTGGAGAAGCAGAAACGAGAAGAGGAGCTTGTCTGTGCTTACACGACATGGTAGCTGACTATGTTTGTGCATCACAGTGAATGAATGGGGATGGGAGAGGTTGTGTGTTGGTGTTGAGAAGGCAGACATAAGGCACCCTTCTGGGGAATAACATGTGCCTGATTGTCTTGTCGGCTAGCATCGACTCACTATCTCTCTGATCTTTGCTTGCTTGCTGTGTGCGTGAATGCAACTGGGCCTGACGTTTTTGCTGTGGCTCGCCGAGTGGGCAAGAACCGTCCGATCAGGGTTTGTTACTAGCCGTTTGTTCTCTGTTCGCTTTCAAGCTATGTAGCTTGACACACTGAAGCAAGGCGAGTCAGTGAGGTTGGTTGGGAGAGATTCCCTTCCGTAGAAGCGCTCACCGCACCCATTGGCTTTACTCACTGATGCGCTGACTCTGACTGCCTCGTGAATGATGGTTGGGAGCGTGCTTGAGATCGGAAGAGCCACCTCGAGATCTGCTGGAGCACACGCAACGTGACGGCAATGACGTCTTGACGTGTCCAAGCAGAACCGCATCGGAATCAGCTACAGAAAAGTCCAGTGCGAGCTCAGGGGCTGCTTCCAGACACAACGCGACCACAACGCAGCAGCGGGCCGATGCGGTCCGCGAATTGGGCTAGTGCCAATTTGCGTCTTTATGAAACAACGCGTCCGGTCAGACAAAACGTTCGATCACGATCGTAAGGAAGAGAAAAAGAAAATCGGTAGCGGTGTTGTCTTGCTTGCACTACTACAGACACGTCAATATGTCGAGAAGCTTCGTGCTTTTTGTCACGTTTGGATCAGTGAACGTAAACTGATGCACCCTAAAGCGGCAAGTGGTTGAAAATTGCTTGCCGTCAGGTGCTGCCTGAAACCGCTGCTGCTTGAAAAAGATCGCGCTTGCACCGGAGAAAGTCAACAAACAAGGGTATCTCTGGGCGCGAATTTCTTAAAAAATGCATCAACTGACCGAACACACGAAACGCGCCAGCTTGTGGTGGATGCGATGTTTCTCCTTTGTCCGGTCATTCAGCTGGTTGAGCTTGGTCCTTCTTGGGTGCCCTTTCGCAGGTCCCTCAGTGCCGCATCGACTTTGTCGAGCTTCTGGCGGTTAACGAAAGAGATCTCGCCGACTATCGTGTAGTGGATATGCTTGCAAGACTCCTCTGTGCAAATGCGGTCACCATCGATTGTCTGCTGCTTCCCCGCTTGGCGCCGCAGCCTCTTCTCGCCACTCTCGAAGTCATCGAAGAGGTGCAAGAGCGAATCGACTGTCGAGCCTTCGGTGTTATCTGCAGCCACACCGGTAAGTGCCGCCAGACACAGCCAGTGTCTGCATTGCAGTTCAGCAGAACAAGCCTTCACGGCTTTCATGACGGTCTTGCGCTGCCGCCCTCGCCGGTCAGGCACATGCGCAATGGCGCGATGTATTTATTGTCCCTCAGGTCTTTGTAGTTCAGCAAGTGGGTGCAGATGATTTGGAACGCCCGCATCTGCTCTTCGTTCAATTTGGAACGGCTCGCCCAGTGAACAGAGAACGTCCTGTCGTCGACCGTCTCAGGCGGCTTGAATGCGGACGCCGGCTGCGCCAGCAGTCGAGTGAGACTGGCAGCATCCATCGAGTGACCACCGTGTGTGAAGAGATTCGACTCGAAGACAAGCTACTCAGAACGCTTACTTCATCTGACGTGCCGCGGCTGGGGCCGATTTCATTTACCTTGTTGCGTTGCTGGTGCAGTTCATCGTTGGGCTGATCCTGGCGGTTCCCATTTGATTGACAAGCCGATTGATAGTCATCGAAGGCAGTCTTCAACAGCCCCTTCAACAGGCGCGCTAGATTGATAATGTCTATTGATATCATCGCTGGATATCGATAGGTTGGCATCCAATTGCATCCAGCGATGCATTGATATGCTTGGCGAAGCGCGTCTTCAACACGGGCGCAGCAGGAGCGGCAACATGGGGGGTGTCTTGTGTTCTTAGTGCAGCCCTCTTGAGTACCTGCATGTTATCGCCATGTCTGTCTTCGAGATCTGCATGTTTTTGAAGCTCCCGCCACTGTTGTCTGCATGTTTTTGAAACTCTCGCCATTGTTGCATGCGTCGGTGTGCTTCTCGCCAACACTCGTGCTGTGCACGTCTCTGTGACGCATAATTGAACCACCGCTTCGCACGCTGCTTTCGACCCTCGCCCAATTCGCGGCCTGGGGTGCCCACGCAGTGGGTGCCCCTTACTCGGAATCTTCAGAGAGAGGAGAGAGACCGGCGTATTCCATCTGCGATCGATAAGTCGGGGTGGCTGGTGCAGGGGTGCATGGAAGGCGGCGGCTGCGGAAAGGATGAGCAGCAGAGATGGGACAAGCAGCCGAAGGGGAGGGAACGCAAGATCAGAGGCATCGGTCTGGAGGCGCCTCCTCGGCGGATGCATGGCAGAAAGTGGTGACGCAGCCCTCTCCGCGGAGTGCCAGCGCTGCCTGATGGACGGCATCAGTGCCATTTTCGCGAGAAAGATCTTTGCGAGCTCAGACAAGATGCGATCTCAGAATCATCTCAGAAGAAGGAAAGGGTTGTCCACGGCAGACGGTTTGCAGACTGACTGCCTGATTCGTCGCTGGACTGACTTCGTCCTTGAAACTCATTGAAGATATCTCATTGAAGATCTCCCTCAGACTGGACCCGAACTGGCTGCTTCTGGGCAGCATGCTGGTGCTGATGGAGGCGGTAACACCATCGCATCGATGACTTTGCAAAGCGCCCATGTGCAAAGGTGAGCAGGCCGCGTAAGACCATTTCTCGCCACATATGGTCAGGCAATGATGCATGTGCATGTGTCTGTGTGTGTGAGGGGCAGCATCCTGCCTCTCTTTATCGCCAGAGCCACTCCATCGTTTGATGCCCCAAAAGGCAGGGCTGTTCGGCCCGCCCTGGGTGAGCCTCTCTGGCCATCGTGACGGCCGCAACGACTGACCAACCCTACCTCTGGCTGCAAGGTGCCTGTCTGTCCGAGCCTCTCGGCCTCTCTGGGCGAGCCGCCGATCCCTCCAAAGCATGACTTGTCCGCTGACACTGATGCAGTCGATGCTGAGCGGGAGGGAGATGTGACGCTTACAGGGCGATCAGAGTTGATAGAGGGCGGTGAGGCCGCCGAGGATACCCTCCTGGGATCATTCTTGGGCTTAGTGTGGGCCTTGTGGTGCTTTCGCCCTGGTTTCTGGGGCGGGGGCTTTGTTGGCTGTTGGAGAAACCGACCAGCTCATTGTTAGTGCTCAACTGGGTGTTGCTGTGGCTCAATTTCAAGTGGGAGGACGCTCTCAACGAGGTGGGCTGGAAGCTTGACACCAAGATCATGGCGGGCGAGTGGCACCGGCTCTTCACCCCCATGTTCCTCCACGCCGGCGTGTTCCACCTGCTGCTCAACAGCGTCGCGCTCTGCAATATAGGCGGGGTCGTCAAGGGGTGGTACGGCCCATGGAGGTTCTGGCTCATCTACCTGTCTGCAGGGGTGACAGGCAAGCTGTTCAGCTTCTCGGAGCGTCGGCGTCAAGGGGCTGCTGTCAGCGATTGCTCGGTCGACCAGGGGAAAAGGCGTTGTTGGTGGTCCCGGTGAAGAGCCTCCTCCTTTATCAGAGAGGGCGTCCATTCCGGATTTGGGTGCGTTTGGGTCGATTTTCGGTTTGCCCTCGCCGCCCACACGCTGCGGCTTCGACACAAATATCGCACCAAGTAGGCGTGCCAGCCGTGGGTGCGCATAATATACATGGGTTGCTCTGACGTATGCTGACCGTTGCCCATCATACGTATCTATCTTTTGCTTCTGCCTGCCTGCCTGCCTGCCTGCTTGCCTACATCCATCATGTGTTGTGCAGACCTGATGAGGTGTTGCTTGAAATCGGCAGGTCTGTGGGCTTCATTTTCCTCTGTGGGTGAGCTGAGGTGAGCATCCGTACCACACCAGCCATGATACCTACGCGTCCACACGCGTCCACATCTGTGGTCATCTCGGCGGTCTCGTGGGCGGCCTGCTGGTACTCATGCACTACCCACACACACCTACCGGTCCAGGAATGCATCGTCCGCTCTGTGTGTGTACTGCAGGCGGGATTTCTTGTCGGTCCCGCAAACCGACGGCCGCCTTAACCATCCCTCCGGCGAACTCTGTCAATGAGGACTGATGAAGTGCTGGCGGAGGCCCATGCAGGCAGCCCATGCAGATAATATGCATGTGTGTCACTGGGTGGGTTGGTGGACGAGCTGCATGAAAGGTGGCTACATGACTGTTCAGATTCCAGACAGACGCGTGAGACGGTATGTTTCTCATTTGTAAAAGCCATACATGGACGGCGATGGGTCTGTCGTCAACACACAGAGTGGGCTGCAGACACAATGTACATACGCACATTCACAGTCACACCTGCGTCAATGAATGCGTCCAACGACATCCGCAGTCCGATGGACATTAAGGATAGACAATATGAAGGCATCTGTCCGTATAAACCGCACATACACGTGTCCAACCACTGCCCCATTGATTCATCTACTGGTGGTCTTGCGCACGTCCCAGCCAGCCAGACAGCCAGACAGCCAACCTAAACACATGCAGACGGAAGACAGAAAGCCCTCTGCCAACGGGGCGTATCATCCCTTTCAGGACCCCCCCACCGTGTGCTGTCATCTTTCATCTATGGCGTCTGTCCATCGAGGAAGATGAGTGCGAAGAGGCCGAGTGACCGCCGGGCCTTGGCTGCCGAGCGCCGGTATCTGACCGAGAACGGATCACCTGCATCACCCACCGGCTGCTCTGTCGTCGACAGACCGACAGTCACTGCCACAGGACACAGACGGAGACCACAGGGCCTGCTTGCACGAGACGTCGTTTGCTTTGCCCTTACCCTCCCTCCGCTCACCGGTCTGACGGTCGTCAAGCTCGACTCTGAAAACGAGAAATGCGATAAAAAGGTCGTCGAATGCCGTCAGCAGATGGCACTGATATGCAGCCCCGTCGGCCCACTCCTCCGTCACGACGGCTGCGCATCCCTCCAGCGATGTGTGGGGCGACCGCGTACGCAGCCCGTCCAAATCACCACCCCTCGCCCCACTACATACACACATGCACACATACATACAAGGACGGAGAACACTCCACTGCTACGTCACGTTCCGCCACATGATGTACCGATAGATATCCATCTCCGTGGTGTGGAACTGGACGCTACCACTGACGTAGTAGTGGGAGGTGATGGCATCCACGATGAAGGCGCTCACCGATGCGGAGATGAAGTCATCCCCGCCTGCCACCCACTCCCCGTCCTCCTCGGCGTCATAATAGACGCTCGACCGGACGGGTGGGTCGTCGTGCTTCATGTGCTGCTGGAAGGGGTGCTGCTGCAGGGGATGCACCTGATAGGTGGGGAGGGGCGGGTTGAGGGTGAGGGCGAACTCGGGCTCGTCGCGGATGGCGCGGATCTCACTGGTGCTGGGATCGCAGAACAGCTCGAAGGTGCCGTCCTGGACCATCAGCGCGACGGAAGACAACATGGCGACCGACAGTCATCCACTGGGCTGGCACACGGGGCATCGACAAGTAGGCCTGCATACAGCCCACGCGCAGACACATGGCAGACGATGCACCCTATTCTCCCCCTCTTGTCTGAGGTGCTCACCATCTTTGTGTTGTGCTTCTGCAGGTCTCCGGCGTCGATGGGGATGGGCAGCTGACAGTACCCCAGCTGTCCCGCCAGTCGCAGCCCGTTCCCCACCTCCCCCCAGCCGCCCCCCTCCTCCATCAGCCACAGGGCCTCCATCACACCGCCGTCGCCCAGCTGAGGAGCGAACCGCACCACGGCCCGTCGGTCAGCCGGCTGCGGAGGGCATCTCGGATGTGGCTCTTGATCAGTCGCGCGGTCGTCCTGAGGCGGCCGACGCCCGGCAGGTATGTGGATGTCTGCAAACAAGCCACGGCGTCGGCCGAGAGGTCCTCCAACTTGGCCTGACCAAGGCAAACGAACACACAACAGACACGCGATTGGTGACACAGACATTCGTCCATGATTGCATTGCACTGACCGATGCGTCAGTGCGCGGCCGAGGGAAGGTGGCCGACTGGACGAAGGCCTTGAGGGTGGCCTTCAGCTTGGCGTACTGCTGCAATGCAGCTATCACGTGAAGCGAACAATCCTGCATGCATAACACACACATACACACACACACGCACACCAGAGGGAGCGTGCCCTGTGTCCTCTAAAGATACATGCGATGAGAGTGCTGATGGATCCAGCGCGGACAGGCGGTACATCAGGCAACTGATCTGCAGGCCATGACCACAAACAACAGAGGGAAAACACGTGTGGCGCGGCTTCCGGTGAGGCTGCCGATGGATCAATTCCATGCTTGCTGACCTCTGAATGCTTCTGTCCGAGCCCAGACATCATGGTGGCCGGATTCTTTATCGTTCTGCCTTCTCCCCTGCCAAGCGTTACGTGATTCCAACCGCATTAATATATAGCTTCAAAAGAGGATTGAACTGTAAGTCTAACTTTCTCGGCCATTCATCGTGGGGAACCGACATCTCAAACTTCTCCAGGGTGTTGTTCCGTAACGACACAGCAGCAGCGAGCCTCGAAGGGCTCGAAATCCACCCATATGGTTATCCTTGAAAGCTAGACGACGAATCGAGACCATCGAGACCATCGAGATATTGTTGGAACTAAGTTCCAAAGTGCCGCCTTTTGAGAGAACCCGCAAAACTGTCGCTTGGATAAACACCATTGCGCTCCTGCAGGCGCCGAAGATAGTAAGAAATGACGTAGAAAACATTGCCTCGTGATAATAGCGTACCTCAGAAGGCTTGCTAAGCCACTTTTCTAGCTCCTCTATCGCGAAATGACAGAGAGCGTCATCAGTTATGGCGCCAAACAACATACACTTCTCGCAGCTGAGATACGTCAGACTGTACACACACACACACACACACACAATCACGCACTCAATTCATAGATCCAGTGTCTCTCCTACTCGCCTCGGTAACGCCCGAAATGGCTGTAGAAAGTGAGTAATCTCGATTTGTAGGGGGTTGTCAGAGAAATTCAGTGTATGCACAAGAGGCCCTGAAGAAAACATGAAAAAGAGTCTGATGACACAATTTGCGCACATCCATATGATACAAAAGAGAGGATCCGGTGCGGATAGTATTGCTTCAACTTCAAAATACGTCACTAGCAGCACACAGAGCACAAATTCAGATAATATGCACCTTACTTGCCTACATTTGCGGTAGTTGTCACAGTATCCTTTTGGTGTCTGGAATCGTATCGGCCAGCTGCGTGAATCAGTACTGTTGCCTCTCAAATCTATCTGCTTCATAGCAGGCAGACGAGACCATGCGACTGGAATGGAGCGAAGAGAATTGTTGCAAAGATGAAGCTCTTCCAGCCTGAACGAGTCGTGAAAAACAATCTCTCCCACAATGTGTATCTTACGTTTCGGGAAGAGAGCCGTTTCCAGTTGGACGTCTAATGCGATTGAAGCTGAGGTCGAGTCTTCTGAGTGACACGAGTGGCTTTAAAGAAGGCAGCATCCCCCTTAGTGAGTTGCTGCTCATGTTAAGCCCTAGCTGTTTTGTCCATTTTTCAAACAAAGGCGCTAGAGCTGTGAATCTGCATAACACATATGACATGTCTCGCTTCACGATAGCAGGGCTCTTACTTATTGTTTGCAAGACCTAATTCCTTGAGATTTTGGAGCCAGGCAATAGCATTCAGGGTGCCCGAGAGCCGATTGCCTCCCAAATCCAGCCACTGCAATGAAGATAAGTTACCCCACTGCTCAGGGATGGTACCCGTGAGATTGTTTTCTTTCAAAATGAGAGACTCCAGCTTTGTGAGTGAGCCCCATTCCGCCGGAAGGCTGCCCTGAAAGCCTCCATTTGTCCCTCCTTGGCCGCAGAGATCGATGTTTTCTAGATTCATCGCGTTGCCAAGCGCTGCGGGGAGCGGCCCCGAGAGCTGCAACAAACATCTTGCATCTTGGAATAGTCATCCATTCCCTTCTGCGTCTCTTCACTGGCGCAGCGTCGAAGCTCATCAAGTCCTTGCACTCCCCCAGGCCTCCAGGCATGTCCTGTGAGCTACATCGAAATGACACACACACACACACACACAGAGAGAACGGCCGGCAGAGAAGAGTGGCAATGGGTGCGTGAAGTCACCGACCGGACCCGGTTCTTGTTAGTGTCTAATCCTTTGAGATTCCGAAGAGTGCCGACGACATTTAAGGGCCCCGAGAGCCGATTTTTGCCCAAGTCCAACCACTGCAATGACGATAAGTTACCCCACTGCTCAGGGATGGCGCCAGTCAGGTTGTTTCCTTTTAAATTGAGAACTTCGAGCTTTGGGAGCGAGCCCCACTCAGCAGGAAGGCTGCCCTAGAAGCCTCCATTCGTCCCCCCTTGGCAGCAGAGACTGATTCCAGCTAGATTCAACGCATTGCCAAGCGACGCGGGGAGCGGCCCTGATAGCTGCAACAAAAAGGCATCTATGAATAGTCATCCATTTCATTCTGCGTCTGTTGGCAGACTTGTTTGTGCGCGGCGGTGAAAGACACCAAGTCCCTGCAATCTCCCAGCCCGTCAGGCACCTGTCCTGTGAACTACATAGAAATGACACACGCACACACACACACACACACAGAGAGAGAGAGAGAGAGAGAGGCAGAGAGAGGATGGCCGGAACAGAACAGTGGCGATGGGTGCGCGAATTCACCGACCGGACCTGGTTCTTGCGAAGAGATAATCCCTTGAGATTCCGAAGAGTGCCGACGGCATGGGTTTGACTGCGATTGAATAAGGGTGTGGGTACACAGCTGACCTAGATGGACTTGCGTGCGTCGTTGTTTTGAGCGAGTCAAATACACATTTGGCCAATTGCATTCACACACATAGCAAGGCTCGCTGCACAACGATCAGCGAGCAACGAGTCAGACAGGTCCGATCCACATTATGTCCAATGAAAACACACAGATATGACAGGAGGTGAAAACAAAAATACAGGCTCAAACGCCTTCCAACACACAACCAGCGAAGGCACCAGCAGGGAAATACTCCGACAAACTCCGCAACCACAGCCACTTCGGCAACTATATGGGCGACCCTGTTGGGGGTCTGAGGTCGATGTTGGGTATCTCCCGTCCTGCTTGCCACGGGATGGGGGTGACTTGATAGCTGCTAGCAAAAGTGGTGCCCCGGTCTCCATGCCAGTGTCCGTCAGGGAAGAAGGTGCCGTTGTGGACCTTGCCATGACGCCACTCACCGGAGAACCACGCCACATGATGCATTTCATAGCGACCCTTCTCGTATGCACCAGGATGGGTGTAGTAGGCCGTCCCATAGCCGTGCCGTATGCCGTACGCCCAGGTACCATTGTAGATCACATCGTCGCTGCTTCGCAGCTTCCCCCAGCCGTGTGGTCTACCATCGACTGTGCAGCCGGTGTAGGTCAGCACCTGTCCCATACCGTCCATGAGCTGCATGCCGCCCACTTTTCCCTCGCCTCTGTTGGTTTTTTGTCCATTCGTCCACTCGCCCTCATAGACCAGCTGGCCGTCATTGGGGAACTCTATCCCGCGGCCGTGTAACACGCCATTCACCCAGCTGCCCATGTGCATGAGTCGGCCGGTGTGATAAAACGCCTGCCCTTGGCCGTGCCATTTGCTGTCTCTCCACTCGCCCTCGTAGACCTTCATGATCTGCTGGCCAATCCATTGGTATTGAATGCCATTGCCGTCTCGCTTGTCGTTTCGCCAGTCGTTGGCATAGACGAGGCTGTTTTGGTTGAACTCTTTGCCCCAGCCATGTCGGATGCCGTTTGGCCAGTCGCCCTCGTATCGCTTCTCCGTGCCGTCCAGCGACCACAAAACGCCCCCCCCCGTGGGGAACCTCGATGCCGCCCACCCGCTTGACTGAGCCCTCATACCGACCGCCACCATAGATAATCGTCTGTGCCACAGTGCTGTAGGCCTGATGTGCTCGCAGCTCGTCCCGGGCAGCATCACGCTCACGTTTGTACTCGTCTCTTTGGGCTTCGAGCTCCTCGATGCGCCTGTCGTACTGCTGCCGCGTTGTGTCTTGCGTGCGGCGGAGATCTGCAGAGAGAAAGACAGGCGCACACACACTGACACTCGTGGCAATGCCATGGAAATTATGACATGCATCACGCACTTGTCCTATGTCTCCTCACTTCTTGCACATCATTGCTCAATGGCCACAGCGACAAAGACACAAATCAATTGTCTGCTGATACGAATTCTTATTCTTTTACTCGTCCAGCCGGTGAGTCAGAATCAGGTTCTCCTGAGTATTCCCATGCGAGGTATACATTCAGCACACCCGAGAATTGAGCACGGCCCCTAAAGCCCAGAGGAGAGCTTCCAGGGATTGATGCAACGGGAGACTCGCTGCCAACGTGAATCAGCTCCGTTGACATTGGTCCAGACGCCAGTGGAGATGCACCATGTAACGGCTCGACCACCAATTCACGGTTTCCGCACGTCCAAGTGCTCGAAACGATTCTGCCCGCCAATGGCTTGATGGAAGTGTTGTTGAACTCATTGACATCTTCTTCCTCGGCTGGAAGGCCCCCGTCACGTCTTCTGCAAGACGATGGGCTCTTCCCAATCATCGTTTCGAAGTGCTGGTCTTCAAGAGTCTCCCACATGTTGATCAAGCCCTCGCGAGGACGGAGCTCAGCGCTGACAGCCGGAAGAATGACGGTAGAAGGCACCAGACGTTTGTCACTCTCGAGGCGTTTCAGAACTTGTCCAAAAATTGCGACCGGAAGCTCTTGCAGCTGACTCGTGATGGCGTCAGCCACATCTTCACCTTTTGGGTACCAATCTCCCAGCAGGTCCTCCAGGAAGTCGAAGATGGGCACATTCGCTTCTGTTGACCCTTCGATGCTGAGTTACTCAAAGCCGAGCTGACGCATGGCTGCGAGAAAGTCTCGAGCCACCGGTTTGATCTCGTTGAGCTTGCGCAGATTCACAGCCAGTTCTTGGATAAGCTGCAGCTGAGCTGCCGAGGGATCCTCGTTGAACTTTGCGTGCACTTCACCATTCCAAAGCGCTATAGCCAGGGGCGCAGGTGGCGAAGATGTGTGATCGCAGCTCCGGAGTCTCACGGATAAGCTTTCGAGCCATCTTTTGCTCAGGACTTGGCAATTTTTCAATGAAGTCCTCCGAGATGCTAACAGTGATTTCTTCTCCACCATCTCGAGCTCCCGGGCGGGCAATGTCGTATAGCTTCATGTCTTGGGTCGTCTTGCTCTGAACAGCCATAGCAGCAACAAAGTAGACAAACTGCAACACCATTCCGCGAACCCTCGAGTCGCTGTTCAAACGCTTCTCATTTGGAAGAATCTACGGTAAACAGGCCAGTGAATAAGGCTGCACTATCTTGTGGCCTCAATTTCAAATTTCTAGACGAACCTTCTCGACGGATGCAGGGAGAAACCGATTTGCCCCACAAGGTCGTCAAGGCTTGCAAGCAGCGAGTCTTCAGCGAAGCCATCAACGAAACGAACATCGGTCAGGTCAACGGCCAACATAGGCTGCAGCAGTCCCAACAGATATAAAATGGATATCTGATCTTGAGGTATCTTACCTTTTCGGGGATACTCAATTGATGCAGTACTTCATCTCGCAGCACTTCAAGAAATTGATACTCTACGGGTCCTCCGTGTTCCATGTTGTACTTTCTGCATTAAGAACCAATCCATTTACCGACACTGTAGCCAGCGCTCGCCTTCTCTTCCACATACCGTCGCACACAGTAGGGCAGGAGAGGCTTGAGATTTCATTGGCACTGAAGTAGAGTAGGTCCTCGCGATTGCACATGAAGAGCGTCTTTTCGAGCGAGAGTTTCTCGAAATGGAGTCTCCTTGAGGCACGTCACACAGGCGTGTGTGCTGCCGATTACGAATCGCAACGAATCGGATGCGATCACAGAAAATGCGAAAATGGGTCAACGCGCAGCCGCCAGTGTGTATCAACCCCAGCGGATGAAGGCGCACATTGTCTAATGCGCTTCCTCCACTTTGTCCCCATCTACGTCGACAGAAAGAGGAATGGTCCGCACGATGAGCGCCTCGCTGTTCTGCGGATCAATGAAAAAAGCGGTCTCGTTCTCGAAACGCTCGATGTCTTGACATGAACAATTGATGTTGACGAACTGCGATTGGAGCTTCAGGCCGGAATCGGGGCCGTTTTTTGTCTGCACTCGGGCGATAGTCCTGGCAGGAAAGAGACACACACATACATAGGCTCCTCGTCTGTCTTGCCGCTGCATGGATTATACTCTCACTTCAGGAAGGCTTCGTCAGCGTCGACGACCGCACCATTCGCAACCAGCTCGATGGGCTCATGAGCGAGGCACTGAATCTGCACGGCAGTCGAATCTGGGTGGGGAGACGAAGCAGGGAGAAACATATATCTCCTGTCCCTTCCTTCGATCGCACCTTTGCCTTCGCTTTTTTCCTTGATTTGGCACACTTCGAGCAAAGGCCCAGTAATGGATGATTGGAAGAGTCTGGGCAGCCCTCTCTCTTCCTTGTCCCGGTCCAGCGTTTCATAGATCGGGACGAAAGCATAGACCTCCGGGGTCCCATTCAAATCTTCCGATCCCTCAACCTCCAAGGTGGGGACTGCAACGAGCCGGGAAATCACGTTTCCATCGTTTACAGCCCGGCCTCTCTTCCTGTAGCTGAATTTCTGTGTGTCACGAAAGCACTCGTCATCTGTGGCATTCCCAGGGACAGAGAGGATTGTAAAGTCCATATTCCCCAAAGGCGCACTACTCGTGAGGAACAGCTCAGGCACGAATCGAAAGTCTGGTCTCTCGATGACGGGAACGTATTTCCCGTCTGGCCCGCTCGCATCAAAGAATAGGCTGCCGACGAGAGTGCCTGTGAAACAAACAGGATACCAAAACGATCTACGGTGTGTGCCCGTATGTGCGTGTGTGTGCATGTGAGTGTCCAGGTGACTTCCTCCCCACACGGACCTTTGACAAAGATAAACGTCCCACTGCAATTCAGCGGAGACACCTGCTCCACAGTACCCTTAAAGTCGACATTAACGTAGTCCACAGGCCCTACTTTCCCCGTCGTAGAGTTTTTTTCTACAACCCGTCCGTCCAGCTCGTCGACGTCATATCGGATCCGCACCTGTAAATCAGCCCAATCGCCTTCGCAGCTGAAGGAAGCCTTTGTGCTATCGAACATGTCGATTGTAGTATTGGCCTCCGACATTGTGATACAATGATCGATGTCCTTGTGGTCGCTAATTCGATAGGTGGATGGCTGGGCGGTAGACGACGCATTGAGGATGGCTGGGGGGCACGCCTCAACTAAAACAGTCAAAGAGTGAAAGGATGACGAAACAAGACAGTCGAGAAAGTGCGAGACTTCATTCTCATGACTTTCTTACAGCATTCAAATCCGATGAAGCACGTTTCATTCAAGGTAACAGTCCCGATCCCATACCGGTCAGCCCGAGGAGCCGTGAAATTCCTGTACTTGTCTTGACACGTAGCTCCCACATCGCCATAACCATCAAAAATTGCACCACTTGGACGGAGACAATTAAGCCGTTCTGTCCCCTCTCTATGCCCTTGCAACTATGATTCCATTTCACTCTGACACCAACACAAGTGTCATCTCCGAGAGTTCCATCTTTAGCGGCAACGCCCAGATACTTGCCAATCGACCTGGAATCCTTGATAATGTTTTGAAAGGTCGCACCAGCGTCGAAGCCGATGGGAACGTTTTGCAGCTCGAATCCGCGGCAGTTCGCTAATGCTGATCGACGCACACATCAGCGACAGAACAAGCAAGAATTAGCGCTTTCCGGCTGACATACCTACTGCCACGTACCTTCTCTTCCGTCGACCAGCTGCCCCAGCTGTTCTTTCAGAATCAGATCCAGCTGCGCACCTGTTTCTGTGTTGAAGAGTTCGAACGATCGAGGACCCTCCTCCTTAGGCGGAATCGTGCACAGCAGAGATACAGTTGTATCGTTGAATCCCTGAATTTTCTTATCCGCGTCCGTCTCATCCAAGCACGACACATCAAATTCCTCGGTGGCAAAGAACCTGTCCCCGATTAAGGCGCTGTTGAAGGAGATGTCTGGCGACTCGTCAGGCTTGTAGATAGAGAAGAAGATCGTCAGAACCACTGTGCCCAGCAGAGTACGGCGGAGATCCGGGCCGAGAACAAGGGAGGATTGCACGCGCTGAGCCATTCCAGCTGCAGCTCCCATTTTCATGTCTTGCCTGGCCGCTATTTCAGCTGGCGCCCCATGACATATCCCACTGCACTTTGGAACGCGCCTTCATTCTCCGAAAGCAAAGTTGCTGGCTTCCAACGGTTTCTGATGACACGAAGGAACATTCGATTACACCCGATCTGAGCAGATATGTGTCCGCCCACCCGCATACCTTTCGAAAGGCTTCCCTAGTCACCACATCCCTCCCAAACCCCGAGGCAATCAACGCTATGATGCCCCCTGCCTCGGTCTCGCCACTGGTGACGGTGAAGACCCGCTGATTCAGAAGGACATCGCATCTCTCAGGCACGGTATCAGGGAATGCCAGGAGGCCCAGGCCTGTCTGCGCCGCAGGGGATAGGATACCGATAGCCCTCGCAGTGACGAGGTCACTCTGTTCGTCGTCTCCGACGATAAGGATGCGCTGCGTCTGGTCATATTCGAATTGCTGAGCGATCAGGGACTCCGATTCGTCCACAAAGCCTGTCAGCGTGACCTCGATCTGCGCCTCCACTCCCTTGCACGCCGCATTGCTGGCGTTGACCACATTCATGACTCCCTGGATGGTTGCGACGGCGGGCTGGAGTGCGTTGCCCTCGCGGTCGGAGCACAGGCCGGTGTCTGGGCATTCAAACTGGAGAGTCGCACTGACACCCTCTGCCGTGTCGCATGAGAGGTCCAGGAAGAAGCCGTCAAGCCCGTTCTCATCGTTGATCTTGCCCTGAATCCTCATGCAGCTTGACACATCCTCGCCTATGTCGCTGATGGTCGGCAAGTAAGCACTGGTGGGCACGTCTTCGAACAGGTAGGTCCCAGGCACCAGTTGGGCAAAAGTCGCATTCTCGGCCTCCTTGGGGTCATTCGAGAGTAGGCTTTGCGCTCTTGGGTCGGGCCCCTCCTCGTCCTTTCTCTCCACGACGGGCAGGCTGTCCGCACAGTCGAAGGGCACAGCGAATCGGTTGACGGCATTGAAGCACGGATCAAGGACCGGCGGGAAACAAAGGGGAAAGAGTTACATGTGTCGAGCAGCTCCTCGTCGTCAGCACGTCCACATCACCACCAGGTCGTCGTCCATCATGCCCACCATCTCCGCTCTTCACCGTCACAGATGCATGAGAGGCACCACCGCGGCGCCTCCCTCCTCAACTCGGACCCCGACACTGTGGCCAGACAGAGCAAAGGAGATTGCTCTGCTTAAGCTGTGCTGCAGGAGCCGCTTTCGAGGTGTGCTCGCCTTCGTGCAGCTGGAACTCCATTGGCGATTCCCAACGTACTTAGCCAATCCCGCCTCTTCTTGTTCTTTTTGGTCGACGCCTTATGCCGCGCCCTGCAGGAAGCTTCACGGGAGCTTTACGAGGGCATGGCCGGAAGTATTGCCGGAATCAGTTCGGCTTTCGAGACGGACTCGGAAGAGCTGTCGTGTTCTGCCAGTGAGGGCTCCATAATCATTTCAAGGACAACTCTCGCGGAAAGCAGGTGGGAGGCGAGGGGAAATGGGGCCCAGGGGGTTTGCTTTCATTCACTTATGCTCTGTGACTCACTTTCATCGGTATCACATCATGAAACAGACGTCGACTACACAGACTTTGTACGCGCGAGGAATAAGTTAAACGCCTCCAGTTAAACAAGGGAGTGATGGACGGATGGATTGGATGCCGTGGACCGTGTGCTGATGGAGAGGATGCAGCCCTGGATGAATAGATAGACGGATGGAGCTGATGCTGATGCTGATGGATGACAGGCTGAAGAATAGTAGTCGTGTGTAGGCAGGCATGACGACAAGCCGTAGATATGCACAGGGGAGGCAGCCGGGGAAGATAGAGGGCTGCTGATGAATAAGAGCGCTAGATAAGCCTGCAGTGCATGCATGCGTGGGCTTGAGGGCGTAAGACGGGAGATAGCAGAAGTTGGCCGAGCGAGTTAGTGCCCGTTGCGTTTCATGATTCGTTATTGTTCGCTTCCGATATGACTTGAGTCATTCTCTCGAGATCTGTTGCTTCGGCACGATCTTTGGTCCTTCCGACCATTCCCTGTCTGTGACCCTGATAAAGGCGCTCGGCTCAGATGGCTGGAAGTGTGGACGTGTGTGTCTGGATGTGATGGACGGAT